CTACTCATATGATCAATGCTTGGCATCTGAGGCATATTTATGATGGCTGCAGCGTCTAGAGGACTTGGGATCACTTTTTGTGATCTTCTGACAAGAATGTCAATGAGAAAACTTGATTTGCTTAACCACCAAAAAAGAAAAAAACAGATTACCCATAACAATAAGGAAATGTCAATCCAAAAAGAGATCACTCTGGCAGAAAAACAAATCTGGTCACATTGCCAACTTCAAAAGCCAAAACAAAAATTTATGCCACCAGATAAAGACTGAATGCACCAATTCTCACATTAAACAAGAGGAAAACCTTCTACGCACCAATTCCACCTGCACTTTTAACAATTTTATAAACAACAAACTAAAAGACTCAAGATCCATCCCACCCCTGATAGGACCTAATGGTAAAGACTGCAATGACGACACCATGAAAGCCAAAATCTTTAACGCATTCTTTGGCTCAGTATTTGTAAACAGCAATGGATCATGCCCAGTATTTCCTAGCCAAACCACAGAAAACTACAATGATCTAATACATATCAATGTTACAGAAGATAATGATGAAAAAGCACTATGCAATCTAAAACCATCTCTATCTATTGGACCAGAGAGAATTTGTGCCTACTTCTTAAAAAAGATATCCACTGCCATAGCTGAACCTCTAAGCATAATCTTTGAAAAATCTTTCAGGACCTGCTTCTTGCCTAACCTATGGTTACAAGCCACGGTCATTCCCATCTTCAAAAGGGAGACCCCAGCCTAGTTGAAAATTACAGACCAATCTCCTTATGCTGCATCACCTGCAAAGTCATGGAATCAATTATTAACCAATCCATTATCCTCAACTTAGAAACAAACAACCTACTCTCTAATAAACAATTTGGTTTCAGAAAAAAAACTATCCTGTAATCTGCAACTCTTACACAACAAAAACATATGGACTACACAACTCGATCAGGACAAAACAATAGACTCAATCTACATAGACTTCTGTAAAGCCTTTGATTCAGTGGTACACGACAAACTACTCCTAAAACTAAAATCTTATGGTATCTCTGGACAACTGCATAACTGGATAGAAGTATTCCTGTCAAACAGACAACAAATGGTCAAAATTGGGAGTGTCCTATCAAATTCTGTACCTGTCAACAGTGGTGTCCCCCAAGGCAGTGTTCTAGGACCAACTCTCGTCATACTCTATATAAATGACCTCTGTGATCATATTAAGAGCAACTGCGTTCTCTTTGCTGATGATGTAAAGCTGTTCAATACTACAGACAATACTGCTACCCTTCAAAAAGATCTTGACTATGTGTCAGAATGGTTAAACAAATGGCAACTTCAAATCTCAACAAATAAATGGTCTGTCTTACATATTGGCAAAAAAATCAGAAAATAAAATACAAGCTGAATAGTCAAGACCTTGTTGATGATCCAAGCTCTGTAAAGGACCTTGGAATATTCAACTCTAATGATCTAAGTGCTAGAGCCCACTGTAACTACATAGCCAAAAAGTTGTTAACCTAATCCTACATAGCTTTTTCTCTGGTAATATCACACTACTAACTAGAGCATACAAAACATTTACGAGACCAATACTCAAATACAGCTCATCAGTCTGGAACACACATTACATATCTGATATTAGCACATTAGTTGAGAAAATCCAAAATATTTCACAAGAAGAGTTCTCCACTCCTCTACTCATTGTAGAATACCTTATGCCACCAGACTTGAAATTCTAGACCTAGAAAACCTTGAATTATGCCGTCTTCAGTCTGATCTAAGTATGGTATATAAAATCATACATTGCAATGACTTACCTGTCAATGAATACTTCAGCTTCAACCATAACAACACAAGAGCACACAATAGATACAAACTCAAGGTTAACCGCACCAAACTTGATTGCAGGAAATATGACTTCAGCAACAGTCAATGTCTGGAATACTCTACCTGACTCTGTGGCTTCTTCCCCAAACCCCCAAAACTTTAACCTTAGACTGTCTTCTATTGACCTCACCCCTTTCCTAAGAGGTCTGTAGGGGGCGTGCATAAGCGCACCAACGTGCCTACCATCCCTGTCCTATTGTTTCTTTTATTTTTCTTATATGTACCCATTTCATGTATTCATAACTATGTATATACTTATACCTATTATCTTGTAAGCGTTTGACAAATCAAAATAAATAAGTAAATAAAATAAATATTTGTAATAATAGACTAAATAGATTAAAGATGACTTTTTTTAAAAAAAATGCTGCACCCCAGTTCTGGTCACCTTCTCCACTGAATTTGCTTTACTTTTTTAGCTTTTCAAACATCAAGAGCTTTTACATTATCCAAGATTTTATTTAATCTTGTTGACTTAGATGTTGCTTTCCTCTTTTTATTTTTATTTTTTTTGTCCTCAGTTGAGGAATACAAATGGATTCAGCATGAACTATCCAAGGTAGCATTTTGTCCTTTTTTATTGTGGCTTTGAGAATCAGCTGCTTCAGTAAAGCAAATACATAATTTAATTACTGAGAATCAATGAAATTAAATCATTGAACAATTGGACTCCATTTTAAGAGCTGTTTTCCTCTTCCTTTCACAGAAAGTGGGTTTTAATTTGTAGAACTCTTATTATGGCCATTTGCCTGATTTCATTCACAATATAGTACTTACAGGTTATTTAAGAGAAAGGAGAAAAAGAAAATAAGAGTTATTTAAAAAAAAAATACTCACATGAAAATCCCACCTACAAACATTTTAACTCACTTCAAAGTAAGATCTTGAGAGACTCACTATGTCAAACTTAAAGGATTTTTTTTTAAATATAATTGTTTGTTTGACACATTTCTTCATTCTATAAGTCCAATTAGTTTCAGGGTGAAACTGTATATTTAACTAGGCATGATGCAAATCCCTAATCAACACTATAGTATCTGGGGGACACATCAGTTCAAGTTGATCTGGACAATATCGCTAACTTTCTACCATAGACCATCTGATTTTTTTTTTCAGACTAGCACAGTTTTCTTTTCCATCATGCTCAAAATATTTGAATAAAAAGCATCCTGCTCTTGATTACATACCTGTAGTCAAAAAAAAGGAAATAGAGATGAGAACCTCTTTTCTATCAGTAGAGTGCTCAGAGTAACCTGCCACCTTTATGCCTTGTAAAAAGAATGTGTGAATGCTGTGTTTTTTCATCATATGGGGACTGAACGAGAAAAGGATGGGATTTTGATTACAGTTAAATTCTTGTTTAGTAAGCTTCGCTGGGACAAGCAACTTGGTTTTTAAGTGAAGCAGCCATTAAGTGAAACAACAACTTGCTTATTATACTTTTCTTTGTTTTACAGACCTGTGAAGGTCATAAATGCAAGAATTGATCGTAATGATTTTTTTCATCACTGTCCTAACTTTGAACAATCATTAAATGAGGCACAATCAACGCTAGACAGTAAACAAGGACTAGCTGTATATCTGTCAATTAAATAACGATTAAAACAACAGATGATGAAAAGAACTATAGATCACTGTCTCATTTTTTGTTGTTCTCCAGAAATATATTTACAGTGTTCAGCATTTCCAAAACTTTAGACAAGTAGATCACTTTTTAAAATCAGAATTAGGAACGATGTTTCTCTCTCTTATCCCAAAAGCTTTGGTCTTTAATTTTTGTGCCTCAAGATTCTTAAGTTTCCTAGTGATTGTATATTATCTAGGCAAATCTAAATAGCAGCCTGTCTATCTTCAACAGGACTTCCTTCAAATTTTCCCTAAGAGATTATGTTGATTTAACCCATCCATCCACCCACTCTCTTTGCTTTTGGATGTATGACATGCTTCCAGGAAAAAGGATGCTTGACGGACACTAGAGACATGCAATCTGCATCCGGCATGCCTCAAAATAATTAAAAAGGTTGACGTGTGGTGGATATTTAAGACAAGCAGTTTCAAAGCACCCTTCTAATGTCTGGGTAATGTTTGGAGAATAATCTCCTAGAGAATTTCACCATGAACAAATTATAAGCCCATAGATGTCATATTTGTAAGATAAGAAATTATTTTATTTTACATTATCATTCTACTTTGAACATTTAGTTGTCAGTAGGTAGGTCAGTAGTGGAGTCTTATGCCATTTTAACCAGTTTGATAAAAGGATTTGGGTTTGCGATAATGGAAAGGGTTGTTTTTGGGGGAAAGGGATATTTTATTTTGATTTGTGTTTTTTTCTTCCTAAATGATTATTTAATATGGCAGATTGTAAATTAGCAAAATATATATGTTTTGAAATCTCCCAGTTGCAACAACAACATACTGAAATATGCAATAGATAAAGATAGATAGATAGATAGATAGATAGATAGATAGATAGATAGAGATAGAGGTATAGATACCGTTAGAGATAGAGAAAGAAATCGAGATATAGGTGAATAAAAAACCTATGCATGTAAGCAAATTAAATTCTCATAAATACAAAATTGGAAATTTCTTAGCAACAATATCTTATCAGCCTGCTGAAATGTTGCTCAAATGGACTACTGGACATTTCTGGCTGTTCAGACCATATACACATTGTCCACCATTCTTCTCATTCAGGATGTGGTACAGCTTAGCAATTGCTTACATTTATATATTGAGGAGATATATTTTTATTGTTGGAAGATGTAGATAGACTACATTATGCCACAATATTATTATCAGACCAAGATCCTGAAGCAGATGTCATAGTTCAGGGGTGTCAAACTCACAGCCCTCAGGCCGGATACATCATGCACTGGACAGTGCACCCCCAGTTTAGTGAAGGGGGGGAAGTCATAATATGTCACGTGACAGCAACATGATGCCACGAGTTTGACACCCCTGTCATAATTGAATCAACAGGAGAACCACTAGCAACATCAGGATTATCTTATCACATGTGTTACTTGTTTATCATATGAGACATTAGAATATAGATTACATGTAATTTGTTCCATTCTATCCCTATCTCTCCTCTTTCCTTCCCACAGGTAGATGTAGGTGTTCTCCGCTTTGTATCTGCCATTGGGACTCAGGGAGCCATCTCCAAAGAAACTAAAAAAATGTATTTTCTGAAAACATACCGAGTAGATATCAGCTCCAATGGAGAAGATTGGATATCCATTAAAGATGGGAACAATAAACCTTTGGTAATAGTTTTTATCTGTATGATGTTCTTGACTACTTATGGATTTATAAAGTTCTATATTTAATTACATTTATCAGTAAAAGGAGTCCCTGCGGATTTTACTCCACTGGTCGCTGCCGATTGCATATGATGATGCACATCATTGTTTTAAGGCCATTAAGCTAGTGCTGTCCAAAAACATTTCCATGGTCATGTGGCCAGAATGACATCATGGACTGCTTCCCACCAAAGGAGTATCTATTTGCTTACTTGCGTTTGTACGCTTTTGAACTATTCAGGAGCTGGGGCGAGAACAGGTGATCATCCCATCATGTGGCGCTCAGGTTTTGAGTCACAACACTGCCCTTAAGCCACCACACTGCCATGGCTACCATTATTTTAAACAAAATACTGGGTACTTGAGGATCAATTATACTTATCCCTATTGGTCATTTTACTAATCAGTCAAAAGTAATGAGAAAATAAAATAGCCCAAACATTTATGTTTTTTTCTTGCTATGGCTGTATCATTTATTAGTAACTTATAGGCATAAGAATGACAGAGTAATTCTATAATAAAATGCTTCATTGCTGGAGCATGGAAAGCAAGATTAAAATTCACCAAAATGAAACATTTTTAAACCCATTAATTGTAATTGTTTATATTTAAATGCTTTCCCCAGCTAAACATCCTTGTCTGGATTATGTCTAATTTTATTAAATTTTAGGAGGGTTTTTTTGAAATTCGCAGATTTGTTTCTCACTTCTGTTAGACTGCAGATGGTTTTTAAAAATCTATGCAATATAATATATATCATACCCAGTAAATGTCTGGGTACGCATGAATAAAAGACTCACGTATTTCCCAGTTAATTATGACTCGTCAATATGAAAATATTGAAGAAGTCTACAGAATGGTATCAACTCAAAGTCCTCATTTTCACCAAATTAGTGTCATGTATATTGGAAGTTATGCATTGGTGCTTGCTTGTTTTCTATTTTGTCAACAACTAGCAATCTTTTAAAAACTGAAGACAAAGAAATGCTGCGTTGAAATGTTACATCAGAGGGATATATTGTCCTCAGTTTGCCCTAGGTTCCATAATATTTTGCAAAATTGGTCAGTCAAAAATTCGTACATTTTCCCCAGAAATGTCTTATTTAATTTGGAAATACCTTAAAAGTCTTACACAAACCAATCTTTGTATTTCTGCTGCACTTCCTTTATCATGGATAACAGATAACCACTTGACTGTTTCATCCTGTTTGTCTGAAAGACAGCCAAACTTTACCACAGGCCTTGGCCTAACTTTCCTGTGCAATTAATATTAATAAGTTAAACAGATGGTTGGTACTAAATAGAGTTAATGTTTGCAAGAGATTCCTGCTGATCTTCCATTACTACTTCCTTCCCATTAAAAAAAAAAACAGAAAGAGTAATTTTAGCAAGACTATTACGAGGGGAAGGGAGACAATAATGTTTTAATTGTCCCAAAATGGAGACATTGATATTTCTAGCTGTCCACTCCCAAGAAAGTATAAACAATTGAACAATTAAAACCCATTTATAATGGATAAGTAGCAGCTAAAATAATTACTCAATTTATTGTACTTTAGCTACTTACATGCATAGGTTTAAATGACATGGTCAACTTCCTTTACTATATTCTGCTCTAAGAAAATACAAAGCAGGAAAGTTGGGGAAAGATTTAAGAAATTTCTGTCCAACAACGGAAAAATGCCTAACATCAGGAAATTGAGACTTTGCATTGTCTAATGGAAAAGGAAATTAGTCACCTTCCTTGAACTTAGTCAATGGAGAATTTGACTTTGTTATAGACGTTTTCATGTCTGGGTTGTAAAAAGCCAGACAAGAGCAAAAAAATTCCTAAATTTGTTTGTTTGTTTGTTTAAAACATTTATATAGTGATCCATTTTCTAACCAACTCTGGGCAACTCCCAATCAAAATCTAAACAAAAAAATAAAGTCATACCAAAGTTATAAAACTGAACATTAAAACATTAAAATATACCTTTGCTTCCATCTAATAATCTTCTGGATTTTTGCATCCTAAATATACATCCTATTATAATACATCTTTCTTATCAGAGCAGAGTAGATATTATCAGTCTTTGAATGCCTTTCTTTATTGTTTAGAAAAAAAATTAAGTATTGAAACAGAAAAATAGAATACTTAGATTATTCTTAATATTGGAAGTATCATAAGAAAACTTTGTATTGGAATTATTAAGAAAACAAGGTAGTCTCACCTTCAATGAGTCAAAACAAGATACCCTCATCTTCAATGAGTCAAAATTTGTGTCCTTAGCAGTAGAAATCTTAATCCAACTGTGTTTTATTCTATAGTTCAATATTGTCTAATATTTTATTAAATATTAGTAAAAATTGTCAGTTAAAAGTTACCATATGGAACTGCAGGAATTCAGTATCCTATATTTACTCTGGATTATCCTTTTCTTCTGTGGGAATCTGATCTTTTTTGGATTTATAATTATTACTATCAATGTTATCAATAAAAATAATTTCTTTTTGCATTATGACTTGTATATTTATGTGAGTAAACAAACACAGTTCAGATATTTTTAAGGAATCTCTTAAATTTTTTCTCTTTCTATAGCTATTCATGGGGAACACCAATCCAACTGAGGTTGTTTATAGATCTTTTCCTAAGCCAGTTCTGACACGTTTTATTCGAATCAAGCCTGTAAACTGGGAAACTGGAATATCACTGAGATTTGAAATCTATGGCTGTAAAATTACTGGTAAGAACTATGAAGAGTTTACCTTATTTATTTATTTTTTTAAAAAAAGATTGGTTATCAAGACTGAATCGCACTTTTATCTATATTCCTCTTAACTCGCAGCTTGACAAAGAAAAGGGAAGGGGTGGAATGGAATGCAAGAATGGGGAGAATGACATTCAAATGTAATTGGTTCCCGTGAGATGTTGCTCCCCCCCCCAAGGACATTCCAAATAGATGTCCCAGTGTGGGCAGCTGGTTTCCATAACAAACTGAATAGAAGTTATTAGTGGAAATAACGGACTGTGTTTGGCCTGTGGAAAAAGTGAGGATTAACTATGCTTATTTTTTTGTGGGAAGTTCAGAGTTGGTTTCGCTTCTTTTGTGCCAATATGGTCTATTCAGTAAAGTTTATACTCTTGGTAAGATAATGACTCAGGAGTTCTTTTTTCTGGATTTACCAGCTGGACGGTTGTCAGTGATACCATTTTATATTTCCAGGTAAATAATTCTTAGTTATCTTAAAAAAACAGAAAATTATTGAGATTTTCTGTTTTTCATATGTACAAATCAGTAGTTGTCTTTTGAGTTCCAACCACATTAAAATGTTAATGTTAGCACTAGGAAAATGTTTTAAAAAATAATTACACATATAATGTGTATGTTTTCATAAGATGTTTTATAAGGTTTAGGTCAGGGGTGTCAAACTGGATTTCTTGGAGGGCTGGATCAGCATTGTAGTTATCCTCCACAGGCCAGTGGCAAGGGGGGGAGGAAAAGATGGGATAGACACCCTCCTGCAGCATCCTGCCAGCCAAAATGGGACCTCAGTGTCTGCGGGCAGCCCCTGCATGCCCTGTTTTCAGCCTGGATGGCCTCCTGCAGCACCCTGCTGGCCAAAATGAGGTGTGGTGGACCGCAAGCAACCCCCACATGCCCCATTTTTCACCTGGGCGGCCTCCTGCAGTACCCTGCCAGCCAGTGATGGGATTCAAAAATTTTTACTACAGGTTCTGTGGGCGTGGCTTAGTGGGCATGGCAGGGGGAAGATACTGTAAAATCTCCAGTCAGAGGTGGTATTTGCTGGTTCTCCAAACTACTCAAAATTTCCGCTACCAGTTCTCCTAACTGGTTAGAACCTCCTGAATACCACCTCTGCTGTCGGCCAAAACACCCACCTCCTTGGTGCCCCATTTTCGCTAGCAGAGGCACCACCGGCCAGTCCTTTGCTATTTCCAGTGAGCAGCCACTAGATGGAGTAAACACCTACTCAAAAAAGTTGATTCTGTTGCCGTCTAGGATTTTTCTGAATTTGTACAGACTAAACATGCAGAAACATGCAGAGTACTTGCAATACACAAAAGTCCATGAAACCAAATGCTAACTTTGTGAATTAAGAAACCATGTAAATGAAATCATGTAAATAATAACCACATCCATACAAATGAATAATTCAGAGGCCACTACATCTCAATGTTTATCCATTTCTATAACAAAAAAGTTAACATTAGATAGAATCAATCATTTATCCTATCTTACATAAGAATAGAATAAATAATTTAGTTACTAATTTCTTTTCAAATCAAATAAATCCAAGGCTTTGAAGATAATGCATACAGAAGATTAATGAAAATGATTAAAATGTTTCTGCTAGTCTACCTATAATCTAGAATACTTCTTCTTGTAAGATCTTCCCATTCAGTTATATGGACAGCAAGAAATAAAGATTTTGTTACATATGGATGCTATACACCCCTTTATGTCTGAGTGAATGCAGAAATGTACGTTTTTACTTGTCATATCATCTGTTATAATGATATGTGTGTTCACGTTACATTATTCAGATAAAGAGGGTGTTTTAGAAGCAAGGAACAAGCACATAGATTAATTAAAAGAAAAATTTACTAGCAGGTTAATTTTATCTTTCTAACTAAAATAAAATCCATTAATCTAAACTATTTCATTAATCAGATTAATTGCATATTTCAAAACTGTTGCAAGCATATTTTCCAGTGTTTCTGTCTTTCCAGAAAGAAACAGCTTTGATTAGGAAGGAAACTAACAGGAAGAGGTGAATGGATAGATTGAGGAATATGGTACAAATGACATAATCTATTTTTATCAAACAATGTAATCAAAAATTTAACACAATGCAGTTAGCAGCAAAAATACTCAAGAAAGAAAAAAAAACATCAATCTCAAATATCTTCATTAATACTAAGAAGTTCTACCTTCCAATTTCCTGAAAATATTCTACCAATTAAAGAAACTTCTGATTTGGAAGGGTTTCCTCTTCCTCCACCTATTTCTGGTCTTTTCAGAGTGCTTTGGAATTACTTTTGAATTTGTCCTGGTGAATCAACTTACTTTTGAATCAACGTCATCATTGTAAATTGGCCAAATATTTTATTGCTGTTGGCTATTGTTCCTTCAACACACCATTCCATTACTATGTAACCCTCTTGGGTTATGATCTGTACCTTACTTATGGCCAAACACAAATCTCTGGTTTGTTTATCTGGAGTGAAGGTCAATCAAACGTGCATAGTCGAGGAAAGTGGAAATGTATCACTTTATTTATGATCAGGGCTTCTTCTGTTGAATTTATCAATAACAAAAGCAAAAAAGTAAGAGGAGCTTTAAGTAAAGATTGCATTCTATTTTTATACCCCTAGCCAAAAGAGAATCAAAGCAGAAGTTCAAACATTGGTTATAAATTTCTTCCTCATTTTCTAGATTGTGCATGCAACTATACGTGTTTGCCAAGTTTTCCTTAGCATGAACTAGTTTTTAGCTTGCAAATAATTATCTCCAGAGTTTCATCTGGACACATACCCCCACCGCTGTGCCCCAGCCCAAGCTTAATAATACGTTGCCTTCTTTGTTCTAGCAACAGGTTTATTACAACAAGTTTCTATATGCTTTCCAAACCATATCCTGTGTATCTAGCTATAGTTTCTCTGTAGGGTCTGTTTTTAGGATTCCTTATCAAGGGTATAGGTCTTTTTCTGGTATAGATAAGCCATGGTACTTCCATGTTCTGAGTTTCTATGCAGACAAAATGAAAATAAACAGAAAATAATATGTTCCTTTTTAAATGAAGTGCTTTCAAAGTTGGAATTTGGGGTCTCAGGGCAACATTCCCCCCCTTTTTTTTCAATAAAATTGAATGAGAATGATTAAAATTTGCAGAAGAATGTTTTGACTCATCAGTCAAGAAAAGAGTTGGCCAAGCCTAATGAGTCAATCTACAGATCTGTTACACAAGATTCTCAAAATGTGTCTTATTGGCTATTCTGTTTTAATTCACTCAATAATAACAATAGCAATAGCTCTTAGACTTATATACTGCTTCATAGTGATTTACAACCTTCTCTGATTCGGTTTGCTGAATCAGCCTGAGTCCTCATTTTACAAACCTCTGAAGGATAGAAGCCTGAGTCAACCTTGAGCCTGGTGAGATTGGAACTACCAAATTGCAGGCAGCTAGCAGGCAGCGGAAGTAGCTGCAGTACTGCTTTCTAACCATTGTGCCACCAAGGCTCATAATACACTTTTTCTGCAGATGATGGTAGCAAGTTGATAAAAAGAATGATAAAAAATAGTTAACATATGAGCAATCAAACTATTCAGAAGTACTATGCATATGGATATTGTAGGGATGTATATATGAACCATTTATTTACTTTCCTTTGCTTTGGTTTAGATTATCCTTGCTCTGGCATGCTGGGTATGGTGTCTGGACTCATCACTGACTCTCAGATTACAGCATCAAATGAATTGGATCGGAATTGGCTTCCAGAAAATGTCCGTCTTATAACAAGCCGTATAGGATGGGCACTGCCACCCCCGGTTGGTCATACGTATACAAAAGAATGGCTTCAGATAGACCTTGGTGAAGAAAAGAGAGTCCAGGGCATAATTGTCCAAGGAGGTAAACACAGAGAAAACAAGGTCTTCATGAGAAAATTTAAAATTGAATATAGCTACAATGGATCAGACTGGAAATGGATTATGGATGCCAGCAAAAAGAAAGCCAAGGTAAATTTGTAATCATCATGGTGAAGAACACAGTAAGTGCTATTTATCTCCAGGATTTTTGATCTGGATACAAAAGGCTCATTTTTTGGTATCTCCAAATAAAGTAGCACACTAAAATGCTACAGAGCTGCTTCAGTTAATGTAGAAAATCGTGATAAGATAAGATAGTTTATAACTAGAAAACTTCTATCCATGAACTAAAGCAACCTAGCTGTTGCCCTGCTTTTAAGCTAATCAGAAAAATGGTTAATTCAAATGGTTTTATCTTAACTTACAGAAAGATAAAGGCTCTATTGAATCAAGCTTAATTTTTGGCAATTACAAGGATGTGTCTTAATATTTTCTTAGTCATATTGTGGATATGGTTAGCCACTGCCATTTTGAACAATTTTGCTATTGTTTTTATACTTGTAGTGTAGTCTATAGCATTAAGACCAGTCATGGTATGTTACCAGTTCAGACCGGTTCAGATGAACTGGTAGTAAGAAAAGCCTCCGACATCAGCTGAGAGGAGAAAGAAGAGAAAAGCATAGGATAGGCCCTCCGTCCCACCCCTGCATTTTTCTCTTCTTTATCCTGTCAGCTGATTTAGGCCTCAGCTGGTGTGGGGAAAGCCACAGTCTGTACATTAGGTGTGCATGCGTTAGATGCTCAAGCACACATGTGCAATCACCAAACCAGTAGTGGAACAGGTAGGATCCCACTGCTGACTAAGACCATTTGATGGTCTCCCGTCTAAGTATTAATCCTCTCTCATACTGATTAACTATCATGTTTTTTGTAAATGTGAAATGTATAGCTCAGTGGTAGGCTATAGGTAGTATTTAGTACTGGCAACCAGCTCTAATTTACAATGGTTGTAGCATTTTGTGGTTACATGATTGCAATTTGCTACCTTCCTTGTTGACTTCTGATAAGCAAGCCAGATTCATTTAGTGCCTGTGTAATTCACTTAACTATGGTAAAAATGTTTGTAAAATTGATCATTGATAACTCAATGGCCACAATGCATAGCAATTGAAATTCTGCTCCCAATTGTTGTTGTAAATTCAGGATTATCTGTTCTATCTGTACATGCAAAATATCTCATGTTTCATCTCTTTGTTCTCATATGGAGCTTTTTAAAAAACCACGATGAACTATCACTTGTATTAGGCACAATATAAAGCAGTGTGCTAGAACTTCAGCCTGTCCAGAAATTGTATCCACTTCTTAACTTCTATAGAAGAAGGGCAACCATGAATCTATTTTCAAATGGCCTTGAATCTGAAAATAAAGGGCTCATGATAAAATGTAAAAAAATAAGTAATTCCATTAATGGAATCTAACTTTGTTTTTTATTAGAAATGCATATTGCCCTGATATAGCTTTGTAAATGAAGCAGAAAATAAATACCGGTAGCATTACATGTTTTTACTGTGACATACCTTGGGCTACTTAGTCTTCTGGTATTAAATTCTGAGCATTTGTTCTTACTGTCAGAACTAGCAATCCTGTCAAAATGAATGCTGGCAGACATATTATGTCAATTGAGTGTCTTAAAATCTACTTTTTAAAAAGTTTTATAACATGCATAATCCTAGCAAATATTCTGAATATTTAAAATTGTTCTGTCTGTGGGGAAATTGGATGAAATCCTGAGATATTAGAAAGCTAGGAGAATTTAAAATAGGATTCAGGCTTTTTTTAAATATTAATTATGCTTAGCTATATGTATGCTGACTACACTGATTAAAAGAATAAATTAAAAACAAATAACTTTCTTGAAACAGATTTTACTGAATACATTCTTAGATGGAAAGCACCATATGATAGATTTTTACCTATTCATATTGCTGCAATAATCAGTTAAACTGCTATATTGATTGAATGATTTTGCTCCTTTTTTGATACAACATATTCAAAACCATTGTCAGACAAACCAAACAGTATTCATTATTATATTTTATTACCTAAATAATAATTAAAGGTGGATTCCATAGTAACAAGAATGGGTCCCTATATTATAAATAGCCTTTTCTTTTATAGAATTTATGTATTTGTTTTTATTCATATCACTCCTTTTGTTAGGAAGTCAAGGTAACAGACAGAGAACTCCTTCCTCTTATTTTTCTTCACAACTGTCCACCTGTGGGTTAAGTTAGGCTGCCTGGTCCAAAGTCATCCTTCCAGAAGAAATAATCTTGAAGACAAAGGAAACACCTACTACCAAGGCAAAAGCCAAATTAAAGAAATCTGAGCTAGAACACTATTCTGAGAATTGGGGTGGATTTTAATTACCATCTGGAAGGATGAAGCCATACTAACAGTATGAATTCTTTGTTTCTAGCCCTGATCTGGTACAAAGACACATAGCAGTAAGAGCACACACAGTTGCTTTCTATCATTTCACAGAAGCACACAATGAGAGCAATAATTTATGTATAATTATGACTTTGATACATTCCAGAGTAGAATGTACTCTACTTTCTCTAGAGTAGCTTCTACCATCCAAATAGCAAACACTGTTAAATTTCAAAAGGAGACGGACTTATCCAAAATGCTTCAAAGAATACTAAATCCTAATCTTCTGCTTCTGTCCTTTCTCCTGCTTAATTATATTTCTTACCATTGGAGACATCCTTCTGCATTTTAATGTCTATGGCCAAATGGTGAATGAAAGACATCTCTGAATTGAAAAAAAAATGTTTTTTTTAATTCCTAAGTAAACATTTCATCAATAGAGACCCAATGATTTGTTTTACTCCTATAATAAAAATAGTGATTAGTCTTCACAGTTCCTATGATACTTAATATATTTATTTAGGATCAACTGGGTGGGGTTTATTCATATCACTACTTTTGTTAGGTACTCAAAGTAACATACAGAGAACTCATTATTTTTCTTCATCAATATCAACTTTAGGGTAGGTTGGGATGACTGGTTCAAAGTCATCCAGTGTAATGGGCAGAAAGAATAAGAAGAAGAGCCACTACCAAGACAATGGCCAAATAAAAGAAATCTGAATCTGGGCCAGAATTGTAATCTGAAAAAGTACCTCAGACAAAACCCTTCCTAATTCTTATGAAGATAAAGGAGTGGGAAAATATATTCAGGGTTGCAAGATTCTGTTTCTGTAATCTTAGGTAAAAGTAGTATTACCTTGAATGACTTTGACTGCCTAGTCTGGTCTACTTTAAAGGCCTCCATCTAGTAAATTTCTACGAATGAAGTAAACTTGTATCTCGCTAGCCTTTGTCCAAAGTCTTCATCACTATAGCACACTTTTCTCATGAAACTTTTATGATAGTTGAAATTTGAATTTTACTGTTAATGATGATGACTTTTTATATATAAATAGTTGTACCCTCAGTAAACTCTTCCTTTAGATGTATTTTCCAAATATTCTCACTATACCAATCACTTCTCTTTTTTTAGATTTGAGTAGGAGATCCATACTGTTCAGCACATTTATTTTTGGATAAATATGTATAGAGTTTATAAACAGAACATCTAATCATGTGCTGTTATAAAGTATATGGGTTTCTACCTATAAATAAACAGCAGGCATAGAATGCTGAAGGGATATATGAATTCAAACATATTTTGGCACCCATGAACTCGAAAGAAGTTTAATGAATGGATAAAATCATTAATGAATGTGTTCTCACATTCACAGAAAGGAAAATAGACAAGGAATAGACAGATGATGAAATCATACTAAGGAATTTCTAGATAACGAATAATCTAAATCCAGGCTATAAATCAAAAGCCAAAATGCATTGCTACATATGAATAAGATTGACCTAAATATTTGTGCAAATGAAATTTTAAAAGGGCAAGAAATCTTTCAACTTCTGAGACATTCTTTTGAAGCACAAGTAATTGGCCAATTCAATTTAGGCATCATTCTGATTCGCAAGAAAGCTTTTTCCTCTAAAGAAAACTTCATGTGCTTAACTAACTCACTAAGGGAAGTTCTTGGCTTAATGATCAGAAGACTTTATAATCATAACTTGAAGTCCTTATGTGGCCAGAAGTAACTTCCCAGTCTGTTTTGCAAGAAGTCATTAAGTGAACGCAGCAGATATTAAGCCAGAGCTACAGTTGTTAAGTGAAGCCATTCATTTGAATGGGTGTTTTTTGCAGCAAAAACCTCTGCAAAATTCATTGCAAACCATGATCAACTGATCCACCCAACATGCAATTATGTGACCATAGAGGGACCAGCATATCTATTTATGCCAACAAGGGAGCATTTTATGAGGTGTAAAGCACCCATTCTGTGGCTGACATAACTTCGAGTGGTCATAAAATGTCTGCTAATAAGTTGAGGACTATCTGTGGTGAAGAAACTAGTTAAGGAAGAGAACAGAATTATAACTTAAATGTGTAATTTAGCATGTAAATTAGATATATTGGGTGAAGATTCTCTATACTTTGGCTACTGTTAAAAACATTCTACATTTAGCTGAAGTGTTTCTGCCAATATCCTTGCCACAAAGCAGCTTTCCTTTGGAAGCATTTCTCAATGGTTTCCATAGAGCTAACATGAAAACTAAATCAAGCTTGAGTTGTAACAAAGCTAGTAAGAGGTCAGAAGTATGAATCAAGATGAATATGGTTGATTTCCATGTTATGGCATTTTCACAAAAATCATTTGAATAATGTAGCAGTTTTATTCTCATCTTTTCAGTGACAGTTTAAACAAAATATATTTTATGCTAGTTCAAAATTCTTTATTACATATCGTTATCATCTATTGTAGGAAAAGTTAGGGATCTATACATGATTGGCCTTAAAAAGCTATGCTTCCAGGGGCAGGTTGACATCTAAAATTAAAAAGTCTGGGCTTCAGAATAATTATGTTCTGGTTGAGATTTGTGTCATTAATACAATGAAAACTAATGAAGTCCAAATCAAATGTTTCTATAGTTGACCGGTTTTCCAAGCAATCTCACAAATACTGTATCTGTATTATATTACAAGTAGTTTATCTTGCTTAGATTTAGTTTTATAGACATCTGTTATCTTACAGCAGCTATTGTTTCTAAAGTTTAATTTGTATACTTGCAATATAACTATAAACATCAGGATAAAAATTCTCTCTTGAAATTTTCCCTTGTAACTACATAAATGGTGATATGAGAAGAAATCCTTCCTTGAATATATCAATGTAAATTCCAAATATACGTTTCATTAAAAAGACATGCCATTAAAACATTTGACTCTCCTATTAGTCCTGATGGATAGATTTCTGGAAAACAAGACATGAAACTTCTTAGAGAATCTTCAACTATCCTTTCTTTCTTTTATTTTCTAAATAAATGAGCCACTTTGAACAATCAGAACTGTGATTACTATTCAGTTGTTAAGGGGAGGAAATCGCCAGCTGGCTAAAAATAAACCTATTTGTGATTGTTAAGCAGCACAATTTTGTATGTATGCTGTACAGATTTTTGAAGGCAATACCAACTATGATACTCCTGAACTTCGCACTTTTGACCCATTGACAACCAGATTCATCCGTGTTTATCCAGAAAGAGCCACACATGCTGGATTGGGACTAAGATTGGAACTGCTGGGTTGTGAAATTGAAGGTAATTGCACAATCCCTGATAAATTGGTTTCATTAATTACTTTCCTATAATACTGGTCTATTGATCCTCCATTAGCTTTTAATATTTAGTGTGATTTTTATCATGCTTTTCCTATCTTCAATAGCATATTAGACTTTTTGTTTGATGCTAGCAGAATTCAACGAACTATGTGGCAGTATATGTAAAGTCCTTCTTCTCCTCCTTTTCCTCCTTCTTCAAAATGAAAAATGAAAATACTAATAAATGAGGGGTCATTTCAATATGATTGATCCATTTAATTACAACTTCCTATATATTTAAATTAAATTAAATTGCGTGCATCACTCCCAGCCTCCTTTTCGCTTTCAGGAACTTCTTCTGTAGCTGGCAAGGCTTTCCTGAAGACCTCTGCAGCTTTTAACAGAGCTCCAGATCGAGCTATAAAGTCCTTTAGGAAAGCCTTGCTGGCTGCAGAAGAAATGGGCTGGCAAGGCAGGTGTCGGGGTGTGTGACACCTGGCTACAACTGTCCTAAGGTAAATAGTAGGGCAGCTCCACCCCATCATCCCTACCCTAGTTTAATGTTTAGCCATGCACTCTGGAGTGGATGGGATCTTAATAAGGGCTTATTTTGGGGTAGGGCTTATATTGGGTGCATATGTAAAAATCAAGCTAGGACTTACTTTCAGGCTAGATCGGATTAGCAAGAATAAACCATAATCTTTTCTTCCTTGTATGGGACCATAAGGAACAAAAGCATTTGAACAATGAGAACCCAGATTGTTGGGGGCAATATGCTGACACTGTAAATCACTTTGAGAGGGCTGTAAAGCACTGTGAATCAGTATATAAGTTTAAATGCTATTGGTATTGCTATTTGTTAGCATTTAATTCCACAAAAGAAATTATCCAACTTCCTCTTCCTATTTCCTATCATTTGCTCTCCTATAAGCACGGTAAGAATTCTCCAAGCTGAAATTTGGGGAGATTAAAAAAAGAATATTAATAAAAAGCATAATTTTAGTTATTTTAAATAATTTTAAATTATTATTTTTAATTTATTCAAAAGAATTATTCTTTTAAATAATTCTTAGTATTTTCACTTTAATACTTTTCCAAACCAATACTAGTACTCACTATTTCCAGGTAATGTGTATGCATTCTAACACATTAAAAAGCCCTGCCTTTGAATCTATCTTAACTGAATCAAGCTGGGATGTTTTTTTCAGTAACTACTTCAGTCCCAACCACAGCTGATACCAGTCCTGTGGATGAGTGTGATGACGACCAAGCAAACTGCTACAGTGGAACAGGTGATGACTTCCATTTGACAGGTGCAGAAACCATCCACATTTCATTGCAACTCTGTTTTCATTCAAATCATTTTCACAATGCCATTCTTATCTTTATTACTTAGTAGAAAAATTATGACATATTCATGCATTATCTTCAACAAGGTGTTGAACTTAATAGTCATACCTTAAATATACTTGCTGTGATATATCTGTAAATTTATGTGCTTTAATATGCCTGCCTTTTAATTCCTTTCATTAATGATTTGATTTAAATCTGCTTGATTAGCTATGTGACCTGAGTATATTAATAAATTGAAAATACTTCTTAATTGAGGAATGTGGACAAGTATATGTTGCCTATAGGTAGTCTATAGATGAGATATTTTAGCTTTCTTAGAATAGTGTGAGGAAAGATATGTCTCAAATATGCCCAAACTGACTAGTAGTATTACCTAGCAGAAAAGAGAGATAAAACAGGTATAACTAAAGTCATGATACATAGCTAATTTCAATATTTGTGGCCTATCTGTGAAATTGGGAAGAGTGCAAGAAAGCGAGAGTGCAAGAAAGAGTGCAAGAAAGCGATGCTATAAGTTTAGTTATGAATGAAAGGAATAAAATGTATGCTAGAAAATATTACTTGGTGTCATTTTGGGTTGTGGTAAATACCAATGAATATTGACAAAGGAAGACTCATGATAGATTTGGGGGAGAATTATGCAATAATCTAAAAATGAGAGCGGGGGGGAAACATTCTGAGGGGAAAAAAACCATTCTGCTAGACAACTTGAACAGATGAATAAGAACAAGATAAAATAAACAATCAGGCTATTTGGAGACCAAGAATAAATTAAAATGGTGACTATGTGAGAAATATCTGTTTAGAAAAAATTCTTTGTTTCAAATGCATGATTTAAACATAAGTCTATAAATCAGTTTTAGAATTGTGAGCTGCCCAGAGTCACTTGGTTGAGGTGGGCAGCTATACTGAATGAATGAATGAATGAATGAATGAATTAATTAATTAATTAATTAATGGAATAAACATAGATCTAAAAACAATGAATGGATGAAATATGGATTTAGACATTGAAGGTACAATATACAGTAGTAAAAGAGGCTGTGGATGAAGAGAGAAATGCTTATAACTGCTGCAGAAATGATGAGAGAAATACAAAGTATGTAGAGAAGAAAAGATATTTACAAAAATGTTGACAAAGAGCAAGGACTTATGAAGATGTGGAGAAAAAGTGGCAAAAATTTACGGTATGGAAATAATGCTGAACTAAATGAAGAGGCTGAGCCAAGGAGGCCTAACAGAGAGATTAGATTTAAAATTAATTATGGAATAAGAAATAATAATTTGTCAAGAATAGAAATGAAATGAATGATAAAATGTTCATGTCCAACAAAAAAAAACAAGGACAAAGGACAAAGTACTCATAGACAAAGACGGATGAGTTTTTTAGGCTACACCCTTCCACTGTACTCAAAGATGTTTTGAAGACTCTATAAAAAGAACAGATGATAATAGTGTAACTCAATAAATGTTAATATGTAATGCCTGTATGAAAAGTACAGCTTCATTGTATATTGCAGTGAGGAATATGTTATCTGAAAATTAATGTATCAAAGACCAAGGCTGATGTTTTTGACAGGGAAATCAAGTGAAAAATTACAAGTTTTACATAAATAGCTTAAGAAACTACAGAAATATTCTACTATTTAGCAGGTAAAGATGAAAATGAAGATAAAAAGACAAACATAAAAAAAATGTATGCATATGTGGGTAATTTTGTGCCATTTTATTTTGCTGAAGTTGATTAAAACAAGAACAATGGATTAGTATTAAATTGTAAAATACAAGTTAACCTATTGCAGTACAACTTAAGCTCTAATGAAAATCCTGGGGTTTATTGTTTAAAACACAATGTATAAATAAGAAAAGAGAAAGATACATTTTTCTCCCCTGAAACAATACAGAAGTATTCTAATCACTTGTAATTTAACTGTCTTAGCTGGATTGTTAAGTAGGCTAATGCAATCTTGGCTGAAATCCAGTTTATTTATAACGGGGTAGCTTTCTTCCAAATTCCATTTCGCAAAGACATTACAATTGGAGCAGAGAAAGGTGGGGGGAGAATCCTACTTTTTCCTTTTCATTAATATTTATTCTAAACTGGAACTCAGTAGTAGTCTGTTCTTCCTACTTCCTACTTCTTCCTAAGTCTGTAAGGCAAATCTAAGTATTAGCAAATTAAAAGAAGTTGCAAAAATCAGACAGCTAAAATGGTGTTTGTTTCTTATATAAGCTACACCTTGGTTAGCGGATGAAGCTGTTTGGAATTTTCTTATCTCATAGAGCTTTATATCTGGTTTGTTAGTTAGGATTTGTTTGTTAATCAAAGTGATGTCCCTAAAAATATTTGTTCATTTACAAATAAATGAAGTGACTTCATTTTCATTCTGATGAGTTATTATTCAATTATAATTAATAAAATAATATATAGCTGGATATAATATATAGCTTGCTTAGGTCTCTTAGATCATTATTAGCAGGTTGTGCAGTAGAAGAACAATGATAGAATTTAACTAACAATTTTAAATTCAGTTTGGGGAAGTTGTGTTATATTCAAGATAGCGTGTTTTTCAAATAAAGTGTCCTTGAAAATAAATAAACATCGATGATTCAATTTGCATGAACATTTACAAATAAGACAATAAATGAATGGATTTTGACTTTGTGTGTGTGTGTGTGTGTGTGTGTGTGTGTGTGTGTGCGTGCAATATTTTTTTTTCTAGGGAGTACCACAGCTACGATCACAGAAAAACCAGTACCAACTGATACTACAGTTCAGCCAGGTAGGCTATAAAAATAATAGTCTCTGGATAAAATACACTACATTTCTGAATTGTGTGTTATGTCAACAACAATTTAAATGAATTGCAGGATCTTCCAACTTGCTTTTCTTTCAAAATATTTGAAGGATAATGGAACATTTGAATTCTAAGCTCCGTTCACTAAACACTTTCCTTCTTTCATCCAAATGTGTATACAGTATAAAGAATCTGTGTTGATGTATGCCAAGTTGTGACAATACTATGAAAATATTCAGCAGCTGAATTGTACACTGTACTTTCTGGGATAAACATGATATCTTGTCTATAATACATGATGTGTTTGCAAACCAAAGGGAGAAAGGCCATTGAGAACAGGAGTAAGGTTCAGGCTATTTATATCTTCTGCTGTTCTGGAAAAACTTTGCCAGGTTTTTTTTTCCTCCAATCATACAGTTGGCAGTTTTATAATATTCTTTCCTAGGTAGACTTCTTTGAAAGATTTTATGCAAATTGCTTAAACTTGAGCAGAGACAAAAAAAAGTTATTACTGGCAGCTGGTCCTTTCTCCTCAATCAATACAATAGCTAATAGTGCTTGGAAAAGCTCTTAATTTGCAGTTTCATTGGGCTATTTTATTATCCTGCATGGAGAGAGAAGAGAGGGAGAGACAGAAAGATTTTTCCCCCTCCTAAAATTCTCTAAATCTGATCAGCAGTTTTAAATGCTTTGTGTTAATAATTGTAAAAAGGGGGAAAGGTCACTCCTCCCCTTACTCCCATTTCCTTTATTAAATGACAATCAGGCACAGCCTTAAAAGTAATTTCACAGGCTATGTGTCTTTGGATGTGTTTCTGCCATACTGGGGCTTTGCTATAAGCAAAAAGAAAAAAGAATGTATCAATAATGAAAAAGCTTCCATAAAAGACAACAGTGTGACAAAAAGCAATCAGAGTAAAGTAATTAATTCCAAGATTTTGTCTCTTAACCTCTGAATTTCCTTGTCATAAAATGCTTTCCAAGCTTTAAATTAATTTTTCTTCCTCCAAGTTTATTCAGTCAGCATATACTATTGTGAACAGCATCCTGTTTTTTCTATCTTCAGGGTGTTGTGGGGGGGGACTTTGTTGAAACATTACTTTGAGGGTTATTTTTTCCTTGACAATAATCTTAGCTTCAGTATTGTTTCATTTCTTTGTTTCTTGAAGGCTTGTGTATGGAGATGTTCAGGTTCTTTTTCAAAAGGCAACTGGACTTTGTTTTTTTCTGAAGACGTTTTGCTTCTTATCCAAGAAGCATCTTCAATTCTTCAGAACTTCTTCAGAAGTACTGAGAAGTTTCTTGGATGAGAAGCAAAATATCTTCAGAGAAAAGCAAAGTCCAGTCACCTTTTGAAAAAGAACCTTTGGGACATCTTCAAGGCTTACATAGTGAAACTTATAATAAGGCATTACTGTTAGTTCTTATTTTTATTGGTTTCTCATTTGAATATATGTGAATATATTTGAATATATAAATATATTCACATTTCTTAGACAAAGAAAGATTAGTATTTCTTTAGAAATGATCCTGCTTTTGTGCAATCTCTGAGCAGTTTTAGAAAAATAGAAGTAGGGCTGTAAAGCTTTACATCTAATCATGACATATGTGGGGGAAAAAACAGGAAGATTATTGTGGCTGCCAAAATTTAGTTTCCTGCATCCATTGTCATTCAGTTGTGTCTGACTCTTGGTCGTTCTGTGGATCAGCATTCTCCATACAACAGCCTTTGCTTGGCAATCTTGGCTTTAAGTGATATTTTTGGCAAGGCTTGGACTTTTTTGTTTATGATTTTTGCAGTCCATGGGATGCGTAGTAGTCATCTCTACCATCATGATTTGAAGGCATCCACCCTTTTCCTATCTTCCTTTTTCAGAGTTCAAGTTTGCAAGCATAAGTAGCAATTGGAAAAATTATTGCTTTAACTAATCTGCATTTGGTTGGGAGGCTAGCTTTACTCTTCCAGATATTATTCATACTGGACATTGCAGTTCTTCCAAGAACTAGATGTAGGGATGTCTTAATGCATGGACCTGATGGGCAATTGTCCATGGGCCCCACGAGCATAGGTGCCCCTTCAATGCCTCTTGTATCATATAAATACAGCAACATATTTTTTACATTTTATTGCATTTTTATTAATACTAACATGCAAATATGTGCTTAATTTTATTTACCATTTACATTTTTATTCCTTTGAATATTGGTCATGGGGCCCCAGTATACACTGCTTCGCCCGCGGCACATAATGATGTTAAGACAGCCCTGGCTATAGGATTGCAGTCACCACATTGGTTAACTTTAAAGCCCAGAAAGATGAATTTGGAAGGTCTCATGGTCAGGTTGCACTCTGACCTGTGTCTTCTCTTTAACTACCATTATCTTTTTTACTGATATTAAACTGTAATCCAAATTTTTCACTTTCAATCTTTGACTCTCATGATTAGCCAACTCCAGATCTTCCTTGCTTTTCACAAGCACTACAATTTTTCCTGCATTTCTAGAGTGGAAAGTATAAATCCTAACAGATCTTTAAAATAAAGTGGAAAAATATCCAAATCACTATTCCTACCTTTAAAATCCCAGAAATCAAAAAATCATGACTTCACCAATTACTATAATGTTAATTTTTTCATTGTAGCTCATAGTCACAAAATGTGACCCACAGCTATCTAAAGGTTGCCCACTTCTATTACAGAAAAATTTGTGTGCTTCTTTGTAATTATAGGCTATGATAAAAAAAATATCAAGTTGTTAGCTCAATCAAAGGTTCATTTGTATTTTTATGTATATTACATTTTTTTAAAGCATAAAAACAGGATAGCTCCATCATGATGTCCCTCTTAAATTTTATGACCAGAGTTTTGAAGATTCCTTGTTTGTAGATATCACTAAGGTATTCTCTGGAGTCTTATCCAACACCAACATTCAGAAGCATTTATACTTTTCAACTCTTCAAAGTCCGAATTTCTCTTTTGTAAAGTATCACAGGGAATATCATGGCTTCCGTAATTCTGATGTTGTAGGCTTAGACACATGATGGCATTTCCAAGGCCTTGTGGCTAATGTAACAAGAACTAGTCAATGGCATAATCCTTAATTGTTTGTTCCTTTTAACATTGAGAGTTTATCTAAAAGAGAGTATTTACCACTTCAGTATCTTTATTGTTAGTTCTACGGCTGAATGCTCTACTTGTCGTCCCTAGTTTGATTTTTTTTATATTTAATTTATATTTAGTCCTATTTTTAATGCAATGAGCTCCTTGACTTTTATTATTCTAAACCTTCTTCATTCTTGACTATCAGAATAGTGTCATCAGCATAGTGCAAGTTATGAATATTTCTTTCTCCAGCTTCAAAATTACACCCATCTTCTTCCAATCAATCCTCCTTTAGTATATATTCAGCATACAGGTTGAACAAAAAATGGGAGAGAATATTGGTTTGCTTTACTTTTTGGCAACCTGGAGCCATTCTGTCTTGCCATGTGCTGGCTTCCTGACAGGTTGCAGATGAGCATCTTGAGATGTTATGGAATTTCCTTTTTTTCTAAGCGCATTTCACAGTTTGACAAAATAAACTCAATAGAACATCTTTCTGCAATCAATGAAGCACACAAAACTCATTTTTGTATTATTTGGCTTTCTCAATTCTCCAGCAATAATATCATGTGAAGCTGTCATTTGCACTGGATGATCCTAAGTATTATTTTGCAAAGAAAATTAAGGGTATTGTACAATAGTTTGTACATTTGCTAAACCTCATTTTGGAGGCTACTGTAGGCTTGCATTTTTGGAGAATGGAATTAAATTCCTCCAACGGCTTGCATTTAGAAAGCTTGGAACATTACATTTCAAACCAGTATTTCTCTAGTTTAGTAATTTGTCTGGATTTATCCATGTTGAAGTACGCACAATCTCAAGTTGCCAAGGTTGCAAATCACAGTTTTTAACTATTGGAGTCCAGTTGGATTGAAACTTTGTATGAATTTAGTTGATTAAGTAATTAAAGAAAAGTAAACTTAACATATGCCATTCTGATGTTTTGGCTTCCCTATCTTACTGTCTCAGAATTCCTAGTCACTTTAACAAAATATGGCTACCAAATCTGAACTGCAAAAATTTGTACAACCAACGGATTGCAAAAGAGTTGTTTTTTTCCTACATCTCTTTACTGCCATCTAGATTTATCTAGATTTTTCCAACTCAGATCTTTACACTCTTAAACTCTTTAACCTTAATGTTCATGAGATCAATCAATGTTCTCCATAGTATTAAAAGCATTTCAAAAGTAGAGTTTGTAACAGCACCAAGGCATGATCCAACCCTACCCATGACTTTCTAGCAATTAAAATGCCTGTTAAAAATGAAATATGTCACAAAGGTGACTTTTTTGAATTGCATCTATTCATAGTTAGACTTATTCTGGTGCTTGGTAGCTTGATGGCTCCATTGCTTCTCCCTTACTTCAAAACTGGCTACATGGTTAGCTGCATCATATTCCCTTTACTTGCAACAAAGCTGTCAAAACATATCAAAACTGGGTGGGCCAAGAAAGACGAACAATATTGCAAAGGGCTTGGCTGGCTGACTACTCATGTGGAGCATTAATTGTTCCAGCTGTGCACAAGATGTGGCCAAGAAATGCAGCTGCTGGCTACTCTCATAGGCCAGATTTGTTTTAATTACACAATAGAATGTATGTGGTGCTTTCAAAGAATCTTACAGAGATTTGGATGGTGAGATTTTGTCCTCAACTTCAATTTAAATAGCTTATTAGGCGTATATCATGCTGCTGCATTTGCTGCTTATCTGGAAAGCTGCAAACATACAAACTGGGTGGTTTGTGGGGGGTTTGTTGTAGTTTTTTATTTTTGTTCTTGTAATCAGGAAGCAAGATCGGGGCTGCGTGAGAGTAACCCAATTGTATTGGCTCAGGCATTAGAAGTGATGAATGAGAGAGTATATGTCTGGGATTGCTTGGGA